GGTTGTCTATCTTTGTCATCGGCGTGCCGTGACATTAGAATAAGACTGACCTTTTACGCCCCTACCAAGTGTCTAACACTGGTAGCCGCGCATTTTCGCCCAGAGATACATCCGCCCAGGGCAGGGCTTTTTCCACACCACTTCCCTCATACACTTCCTCCGCGTCTCTACCACCTAAGCCGCTTCCTTCCTTCAAAAGGAACAGCGCTGCAGCGACCGGTAAAGCGCCTCAAGTACACAACGGTATCGTTCCGCCCAACGGACGCTACCACCCGTACCAACGCGATCCTCGTCGCACGCACCGCCTAACCCAGGGGAACCTCGTCCAAGCGAAGCCCCCACAAGCCAGCTCACAAGGCATCACAGCTGAGCGTCGCCAACAAGCACGCAAGGTCAGCCTCTGGCTCGAAGGAATCCCAAAAGACGCACTCACCCCGCTTATCCCTGTTCCCCCCGCGCATCCCTTCGATATATTCCCCGCCATCAACGTCCTCGAATTCGCGCTCTCAAAGAGCTATCATCCTCGCGGGATCCACGAGAATCCCAAAGGCACCCTCCCCGAGAACATCGCACCAACTGTATACGCTACTATTCAGCGGTACAAAGTTTTGCAGCAGCCGCACATCGCAGCCAAGTTCACGGAGGAACAGTTGCAGTGTCGAGACAGAATTCTTCGACACCTATCAGTCATAAACGAGCGCATCGGAGCCGGGCACGATTTCACATTCGTCGATAGGTGCATCGCTATCAAGCTTTGCGTAGGACTAGGGAAGATTTCCTTCAAGGGAATCAACAAGGAGCAGGAGCGCGTAGGCAAAGACATAGTGAAGTTTGAGAAGGAGTCGTGCTACTGGCCCTATTATGACCAGCAATATTTTTTGTACCATCACAAGTAGTTTTATGCCCCGCTATCAAATCGCGTTTGTATATCAGAACTACATTGTGGACTTTTATCGCCCGGCGCAGGGACAACTCACAGTCATCTGCACCGCATACTTCATCTACCAACCTCTCGTCACCAATTGGCAACAAGTGCTCTACCACTACACGGTACAAGTGCACGGTTACACCACCTACTCGGCACCCTTCCGGCTCATTCCTGATCTTGAGGAAGAACGAGAATATTGGCATTACCGAGCAGAAACTCTACGAGAGGAGTTAGAAGAAGAAGGACTCATCGAGGAAAATCCCGAACCCTTCTAAGGCAGAAAACAAGCATCGATCGATTAACACATTGTCCGTCACCTCATTTCCATTATCTTCAACATCGATCCCAATGTCTCAATACAACCTTGGAGGTGTTTCGTTCCCCGGAGGACACACAATGAGTGAGCCTGCTGACCCCTGGAGGAGTCAGGCCACTTCCACATCGTCCGAAGCAGGACCAGCTGCCCCTGCGGATGAACCCCATACTAGCAGCACACCCAAGGCGTCGGGAGTAGTCAGAAACCCGTCGCCCACTACCCTGCCAGCGTTTCCCACACCTCAGACTTGGGAATGGCAGGGAGTTCCCTACGCAACCATTGAAGAAGCCGCCGACGCCGCTGCTCCCAACACCATTCCAAACGACGTCAAGGAATGGGTAATGAACGTGGTGCGATTGTTCGTCATGAGAGACGTTGTAAGCTCGTACGAGGCTTTACGTCAAAAGATGGATGAACGTCACGAACGCACCGTGGCATCAATGGAAGCAGAAATGTTGTCTCGTATTCATGTCGAAATAAAGGCAGAAGAAATACAAGAACAACTAAAAACGGCCAGAGCCCAGATCGGCGCCCTCTCCGCCGACAACGAGCGGCTCATCAAGGCAAACAACACTCTGACGCTCGAAGCCCAATCAATTCGCAAGGACTTCGAAGATTACAAGGACGAAGTAAAGGGTCAGATGGATGCCCTTTACGGCAACATGGTCGCCCTGAAGGAGGCTCAGGAAAAGACCACTACCTACATCGTTGGCTTAGAGTCTCAGCTCAATAATGCCATCATCAATGCGCCCTCCACAGGTATCCTACCACCGGCCGGCCAATCCAGTCAATCGCCCCGCCGAATCAAGCTCCCTGATCCCCCCAAGTATTCGGGAAGAAAGTCGTCAGAAAACTTTGAAACTTGGTTCACGAACCTGCTCATCTGGCTCGACTATAACCATTTCACGGACGACAAGGACAAAATTCGGCAAGCCAACGCTCATCTGGAAGGGGGAGCTGCTCTATATATGAAAGAGTACGCAATCAAGCTCGCCTCTGGACAAGACGTTGGTACATGGGCAGAATATACTAGGAAACTGGAAATGGCATACAAGACGCTTGACCCCAAGCGCACGGCACAATCCCTGCTAGATGCACACTGCGCAATCCGCCACAAGACAATGATTGCCTTTGCGGAGAATTTCAGGGCATACGCCCCCGAATCAGGATACTCCGACGAAGACTTAATCGTCAAAATCAGGGAGCAACGGTCGACCCATATTCAAACGGTCATGTCGGTAATGGAGACTTTAGATCCCTCCAAGATCCCAACCACTTGGATGGACTACCTGGAATTCTGCCTAGAGATCGAAATCAAACATCTCCAGCAGATGACGGGCAACAAGTCTACCGGACAAACCACTGGAACCAAGGCGACCGCTCCTAAGGACCCTAACGCAATGGACACCAGCGCACGGATCGCACACGAACTTTCCCCGGAACAAGACAGGTGGCTGGCAAACAAGCTATGCTTGTTTTGCGGAAAGCACGCCTATGAACGGGGAAAGCGGTGTCCCTCCCCCAAACCGGAATACAAGGGCAAGCGGTTTCAGACACGAGCCACCCCAAAGCAAGGGCAAGGAAAAGGGAAGGGCAAAACATCGAACGTCCGACAGGTGGAGGAAGAAAGTAGCGCGGGCTCATCAGCTCAAATTGCGGCACTGGAACAAGCAATTGCTGCACTTCGCGGGATGAGCACAACCTCGACTACACCACCGTCCAGCAAGGGCAAAAGGAGCGTGGACACAGCATCTATGGCATCAAAATCTACGGTCAAGGACACCAATGCGAGAATCGTCGAGATAGACGAATTCTCAGAGGATTTTCAGTACGAAGTGTAGACGAGTCTGGTGTCACACTTCAGGACAAATGTATTAGTACCGTGAGAACGAATGTACCTAGCGACCACCTATATATTGCATCCGCAGGTTTTTCTAAACATTCGATCGAATTGCCGATAAGATTCGTATCACGGGAAATCCAGACAACGGCACTACTGGATTCTGGAGCCTTCTCTTGCTATATCGACCAAAGATTCGCCGAGAAGCACGGGTTTAAGATGATACCTCTAAACCACGAAATCTGAATCCTTAATGCAGACGCTAGCCCCAACAAGGGTGGCGCAATTACTCATCGTGTAGTCACAAGCATCTTAATCGGGGGGCACCGATCAACTGAGAGTTTGCTCGTCACAAACCTTGGACGCATGTCAATGATCCTTGGCATGAAATTTCTACAAGAACACAACCCCCGAGTTGACTGGGAACATAGAGAGGTCACGTTCTCAAGATGCAGACACACGAGGAATCAACGAGTCAAAGTATGCGAAGAAGAAGTCAACCTTCTATTGCAACCCCGGCTCGAAAATGAAGCAATTCTCCCTGACGTACACATGGATGACGGGTGGGATCAGGAAGATAGCTTCATCAACTGGATAGACTTGCAAGACCAGGATCTTCGTAACATGGTGCACGACATCCTAGGCATAAGCAAGAAGGTAAAGGAGCATTTGGTAGAACAACCGGCAGAAGGAACACAGGACAAAGAATATTGGTCCAAATTCGTCCCTCCAGAATTTCATTAATTTGGAGACGTGTTCTCGAAGAAGAGTTCGGAAAGAATGCCGACGCGTAAGCCCTACGATCATGCAATTGATCTTGTCCCAGACGCGGCAACCCCGAGACCGGCAAAAGTATACCCAATGTCTTTACGGGAGAAAAACTCGCTCGATGAATGGATTGATGGCGAACAAGCCAAAGGCTACATTCGACCATCTAAATCCCCATACGCCGCCCCGGTATTTTTCGTCAAAAAGAAGGATGGATCTCTGAGACTAGTCCAAGACTACAGGGCGTTAAACAACGTTACCAAGAAGAACAAATTCCCACTCCCCCGAATCAACGATCTCATCGACGGACTCTCAAGGGCTAGTATATTCACTACACTAGATCTGAGATGGGGGTACAATAATGTACGCCTTCGCAAGGGAGATGAGGAAAAGGCAGCGTTCATTACCCATAGAGGGCTATTCGAACCCACTGTCATGTACTTCGGATTCTGTAACGCCCCTAGCACTTTCCAGGCCATGATGAATGACGTTTTAGGCGATCTCATTCGCACTGGAAAGGTGGCAGTCTATATAGATGATATCATCATCTTTACGGATAACCAGGAGGAACACGACCGTCTGACCAAAGAAGTTCTACAACGACTCCGAGACAATGACTTGTTCGTGAAACCAGAAAAGTGTCACTTTGCGACCACTTTCGTCAAGTTTCTCGGACTCATAATCTCAAAAGGGTCGATACAGATGGACTCAGAAAAGGTCGATGGCGTGCTCAAATGGCCGGTGCCCACCAAGGTAAAGCAAGTACAAGCATTCCTTGGTCTGGCAAATTTCTATCGACGATTCATCAAGGATTTCAGATCGATGACCCGACCCTTGACTCTATTAACACGTAAGGACGCACCATGGAAATGGGAAGAACCTCAACAAAAGGCATTTGAGGCCCTCAAGACTGCATTCACTTCCGCCCCAATTCTAGCACTTCCCAACGCAATCCGTCCCTTTAGATTGGAAATGGATGCCTCGGACTTCGCCACAGGCGCGGTCCTTGAACAGTTGGGAGACGATGAACTTTGGCATCCTGTCGCATACTACTCCAAATCGCTCAATGAACATGAGCGCAACTACGAGATTTACGACAAGGAGATGCTAGCCATCATTTGGGCCTTAGAAGAGTACCGGCAGTACTTTGAAGGACACCCACACCCAGTTGAGATATGGTCGGATCACCTTAATCTTACCTATTTCCGTCAAGCTCAAACACTGACCAGACGACAAGCTCGATGGTCACTTTACCTTACACGTTTCAATTTCATTCTCCGTCACCGCCCCGGAAAGACAATAATGCGTGCCGATCCTCTGTCCAGGAGGCCAGATCATGAGAAGGGGGTGAGCAATGACAATTCAGGGCAAACTTTGCTTCGACCCGAATATTTTGCCATCCACGCAATCTCAGCCACTCATTCCTCCGAAGTTGACGATGCAAAACTTCTAGAAAGAGTGAAATCGGCACTACAAGACGACGAAATGACCAAAGGTTACCAGCACCTACTAAAAACTGGCAAGCGAGAGTTCAGAAAAGACCTTCAAGAGTGGAACTTCGAACATGGATTGCTGCTACGAAGAGGAAAGGTCTATGTTCTAAAGGACTCTACGCTGCGGAATGAGCTGATCAAGTTACACCACGACATTTCCACGGCCGGACATGCCGGACGGTGGAAGACGCAAGAACTGATCAGCAGGAATTATTGGTGGCCCGGGCTCACCATTGATGTTAAGAAGTACGTTCAAGGCTGCGTAACCTGTCAAAGAAACAAGACAAGCAAGCAGAAGCCTTATGGACTACTTCAACCTAATCCAGTACCACAGGGGCCTTGGGAAATGGTTACCTGTGACCTGATTACACAGCTACCGCCAAGCCCAGACCACAGGGGAGAAAAGAAGACTGCCATTCTGGTAGTCGTCGACCGATTTACCAAACATGCTCACTACTATGCAGTAGATGACACGGTGACAGCCTCTCAAGTAGCGTCAATTTTCTACAATGAAGTATTCAAACTCCATGGAATTCCCAGGCAAATCATATCAGATCGAGGCACCCAGTTCTCAGCCAAATTATTCCAGGAGTTTTGTCAGAAACTTCACATTAAGTCGACGATGTCTACGGCTTATCACCCAGAAACGGACGGACAGACCGAACGGGTTAATCAGATTCTGGAGCAATACCTGCGCATGTACTGCAACTACCGACAAACCGACTGGGCCACACTACTGCCCACGGCAGAATTTGCATACAACAACCAGGCTTCAGAATCAACAGGTTTATCACCGTTCTTCATAGAGCATGGTCGACACCCTCGCATGGCACCTGATGTATTGGAAGGGATACAACATCTGTCCCTGGAACACTTATTCCATAACCGCGACCAAGCACAGGAACAAGCACGTGCCGCTCTGTCATTAGCAGCAGAACGTATGAAATGGTATTTCGATCTTAAAAAGCAGGACGTCCCTTTCAAAGTAGGAGACGAAGTGCTTATTCGAGGAAAAGATCTCCATGTAAAAGTCAAAAGTCAGAAGCTGGCAACTCAGAACTATGGACCATTCAAGATCCTCGAGAAGATCGGGACCGTATCGTTCAAACTGCAATTACCAGCGGACATGAAGATACACCCTGTGTTCCATGCTTCAAAGCTAATCATGTTCCATCAAGACTCGATTCCCGGACGTATCCCTCCCCCCAACCCTCCAGTTATTATTGACGGAGAGGAAGAATGGGACGTAGAGGACATCCTTGATTCAAGAGTCAGGTATAACAAAACCCAATATCTCGTCAAGTGGTTAGACTATGACCACAGCGACAATACTTGGGAACCATTGGAAAACCTCACGAATGTCAAAGACAAGATAGAGGAATTCCATAAGACACATCCAGACGCTCCACGAGCTAAGCCACGAACGCGCAAAGCCCACAAAATTGCCCTGTCTGACCACCCTGATGAATTCATGATCTTCTTCCGCACACATCCAAATGCCCGAGCACCCTACAAGGGATCTGCAGAAGCTGTTGGCTGGGATGTCAAATCAATACAAGACGTAGACATTCCCCCACATTCCAGAATGCTCATTGGCACCGGGCTTGCGGTTGATCCTCCAAAGTGGACATACATTCGAGTAGCCCCCCGAAGTGGGCTAGCCCTCAAAGGAATTGATGTCGCAGCGGGGGTAATTGACCCAGACTACACAGGGGAAATCAAGGTGCTTCTCGTCAATACGACCAACGCACCATTCCAGGTCAAGACAGGCGATCGTGTGGCCCAACTCATATGTGAACGCTACGCTCCAGGAATTATTTCGGAGGCAGACAGTTCACTCGCAAAGCGAACCATACGAGGCGACAAGGGCTTTGGCTCATCGGGACGATGAACCTTGACAAGGGGGTGATGTCACGGTTTTACCTGACAAGTCATTATAGGAACAAATGCTATTAAGGAGCATATTATTTTTCACCATTTTTCGTCGCACAAGAAGTCACGTGACCTAATGAGATAAGATAACGAGGCCTCTAGTCACATGACCTCGGATCTCCCTCGGCATTGTCACGTGACACC